AAATAGTTCTGATAAACTTCATTTATTCTTCATTTCAATACATCTCTCTTTCTTCATTTCTTCTTTCCCTTTTTATTTCTTCACCTTACTTTCTGACCCCAAAAACAGTTTTTTGGTTCCTTTGCCGCGAACAAACTCTTTGAGTGATGGACGATGATAAAGCAACTATCTACACTTTAATTGATCGTTTTTATTGTTAAAAATTCACAGGTAATTCATAAGAATGGTTTGATTCGACGGGAAGTTCCTAGACGTCGATCTTGGGTCTTTCGGAACTGTCTTATTATGATGACGTTTCAGTCTGCCATAAGGATCGCCGATAACAAGCAACGGTCTGATTAGAAACATTTTGGGTCGTCATCGATCGTTGGTACCAATGGCCCACTCAAAACCCCGCACTATAGATGATATTTTCGTTCTCGATCGATACCAATGCCTTAATATGCTCTTCTACGAGGCACTCGTCTTCACAATGCTTTCGAATGTGGTAAGAAACTGTAGCCTGATTCTGTTGCTCTTGAAGCCAAACCCCGCGATTAGCCCGACTAGTGGGAAGGATACCGGGAGGGAATTAGTGGGACCTACCATAGATCACTCCAGCTTCGTCGCAAAAATTGCGCGGTTAGGGCGCTAATCCTTACGGGCCTGCAACCATCGACCCCCGTTGCAACGCTTCCCACCCACCGCGATTGATGTAGAGATCAGCGTGCTCTCTCGCGTGTTTTGTCTTCTTTGATCGCCCTGTCTCGCCATCGTACCACATCCGTTACTGAAGGTTAAGGCCTTAATTTCAGCGTTCCAATGATTTCTCTTGCTTTCCTTCCCACTTTCATCGTATTCCGCAGCTCAGCCATCACCACGAAACGTTCTTATACATCAGTTTCAGCGACTGGCGACGTCCTTGAAAAAATCGATATCGCGCGTGCGTTTTGATGCCCTTGATGCTACCTGATGCCACCTCCTTTACTAGGTCTGCAAATGCGACGGGTGTTAGGAGGCTGGCTATAAACTGTCGTTATTCGGACCAGCATAACGATGGTCCAAGTAGACCTAACACTTCACATGGTACAGATGTATTCCCCTCCCACGGTCCCCATAGCCTTAAAGGAATCTTGCGCGGAAAAATCATGATTCTATTTCAGCCATAAATCACTGGCTTGAGACTCATTATCCACGATAATAGTGAAAAGAACTGAAGTATTGCTTTCGTTTTGATTAGAAATTCGAAAACTCGAAAAGGCTGCTACGCGTTCGAATTGCCCACGGACGTCTTTCACGAATGCTGGCGACGGGGATGCTCAAACTTGGTTCTTGGAGTGCATTCACTAGAAGCTCTTTCTGGCCTTCTGCTTCGTTGCATTCACATCTTACACTTCTACTCCATCCTATTCCATCGATCGATTTGTCTCCACTCTCCGAAATCGCGCGCTTAACCCGATTCTCTCATTGCGTCGCCTGGTACGTAGCCGGCCAAACGCCGTCTTCTTTCCATGCCTCGCCTGGCTCTGCCTCCTGGTCCTTCGATGGTCCATAACGTGTAGTTTTTGTACGTTTGTTTCTCTTCAGAAACCGAATCTTCATGCGTGAAACTTTGTGTGCTATTTCCAGTGATCACAACTGACATATTCATGTTAGGAAAGAGTGCAAGAATTTTCCGCGCAAGATTCCTTTAAACTTCAAATTTCTGCATGGTATTCTTTTCGCTTCTCCTCCCACCCCTTCTCCTAGTTTCTCAGAGTGGAACTCATATCCTCACCTGAAGGAAAAGTGGACGATAAGCCTTTGGCACTCGATCAGATGGCACAAATAGTCGGGAGACTGAAAGAAAACCACATACAAGTGAAAATGGAAGAATACATAGGTATGTATACCAAAGGTATGTAGAGGAAGTGTATGGTATGGGGGTGGTATGTAGAGGAAAAGGACCAAACCTAATGGTGAGGGACGAATTCTGGATAAAATGAGAATTGCTTATGCACCAGATTCCCCCTTCTCCTCTAACCAGGGATGTTTTTCAGGACATCGGGCGCTCTTTGAAATGGTTTTTGCATTTTATAGAGAAAGCTGAGAACAATTTTTTCTGAGCGCTTCAAGAATGCTAAAAGAAAACATGTGGAAACCTGGCTTGTGGCTCGGTCCCCTGAAGACAATTGTTAACATTTCTGATTTCTTCTTTCTTGATTATATGTCCAAATCGATTCAGCGAACAAAAAGCTTCCAAAATGCAGCCATTCAACGCTACAAATGCTGTAAAGTTCAAATGTAAAAAGCTTAATATTCCTAAGGAAAGTTACCCAAGCTTCTTGGCAATTTTCTTTTCTTTTTCTGGGTCAAAAAAATGGTCATCAGTTTGATTGTCCACGCACGTGCCTCTATAAGGCTGCTTTCATAGTTTGCGGTCCGTGTGGTCCATACGCGACAATAGCGTCAGCGCACAATACGTACTTGGCGCGCAGTCGGCGACTTCCGATCGATAAATTCGGTTTCATTACATTCTCCTTTTGTTTTTCAGGTGTTCCACGTGCCGTGTTGCTTTTGCTCGTGTTTTTTGGCGAGAATCTTTTTCTTTTTCGTGTGAATCATTGCTTTTCAACTGTCCTAGAATGGTTAGGTTCATACAGTGTTTGAAAGTGGCAAGCCCCAAGTGAGTTCATTAGTAAGCAAAAGCAGTAATCCATACAAAAAAGGAAAAGTTTTGAGCTAAACAACCGCAAGAAAAAGCAAAACGGCACACAAAACGTCAAAAAAATAGAAAAAATGTATCGAAATTAGGATTATCGATCGGAAGGCGCCGACTGCGCGCCAAGTACGCATCGTGCGCCAGAGCGCGTGTTGACGCTTTTCACTCTCTCCGCGCGGTCCGCACGGACCGCAAACTATGAAAGCAGCCTAACATGTAACAAGCCGTTTTGAAAAAGCGCTCCATGTTCGGAGAACCTTCCTGGGAAGGCTTATGGATAGTCTTAAAACTGAGCGTTTTCGTGAAACTAGCGCAATGTTACGGACTGCCCCCCCCCCCGTTCACCTCTGGAACCACATAGTGGCTTCATTAGGACTACAGATTATGAGTACTTTTTGGCTGAATGGATAGATTTAGGTGTTCAATATTTTTGGAACTGCTCATGCGACATTATTAGCATGTGATGGATCTCATTTCAACGGGACACAACAAGAGTTCTGCCAAATGCTCGAAAGTACAGACTGCACCAAACCGACGTTCGAATACGAGTTTTACAGTGCAAATGTTGAGGTACGAAATAAAATTCATTTAAATTATTGCGCAATACAGATAGGAAGCACATTTTACGCCCAAAAACTCTGGGATGCGTTACGCACTCGGGCTTCTACTGAAGCTCGTATAAGATAAGGATTTAAGGCCAAAATCGGATTTCGTGGCCCAATATGGGTAAAACCATATTTGTCTAGGAGGATAAAAACCTGGTGTTTAGTTGTACTCGCTGGCTCGTCCCGAAAGGCATTGTATAGGCCACATCGCATTCGAACACCACTACGAATGTACAAATGGAAGTAGAATGCGTGCCGCATCCCAAAACGGGACTGATCAACGCCAAAAGCTTTGTCCTTCTTATCCCAGATAGTCTTATTCTTAGTGTATAAACCGCATCCTTTCGTTCAAATCAAGAAGATAATAGTGAATAAAATCTCCATATGACAACCAAAAATTATTTGTTCAGTTCGGAGAAGTCTGTTCTCCGCTAGCTCCCACGTTGTTGGATGGAATTTTGTCGAAATTTGCAGTGAAGTCCAAGGCTCGTTTCTCCACCACTCTTCAAATGGTCGGTGTGATCTCGGATCAGCCATCGCTGGTCAACTGTCTGACTTGTACGGCAGGAAAAAGGTATCTTCGGCTCTTCTGCTGTATTTATTATTATACATGACGTGATTTTACTGGCGCCGGGATCCAGAGTGAGTCCAACACAAAAACCACCAAGGCACAATAAAAACAAAACAGAGAATAAAGCAACAGGAGGGGAAGTAAATGAAAAACGGGGTGCTTTTTAATGGCAAGGAGTAGCCGACGAACCGAGGGTTCCTCTTCCCAGTTTTTTTTAAAGGAGTCCAACTCCTTGACGGTGAATTGGACGAGTTTCGCGATATCAACCTAAATCATTAATGTGCGTTCGTGTCCAACTCTGACTTCTCTGCCGCAATGGTTTAGAGCGGCAGACGCTAAGTGGCAACAAGTGCGCCGCCAAACTTGGGAGCGGAGTAATCTTTGAGGGCGGGCTTGAATCGGTAGAGACTCCTTTAGTCTATTCAAGCATACCTCATCACACCCTCGTGTACTAAGGTCCTACCCTCCCATTCAAAAAGCGCGGAAAGTGTCGGGTGCAGACCATGCATCACAAGTGACGACAGCTTCCGAGTAAAATCAGGTTAGTACAGGGTGCGCCAAAATTACGGAGACAGCGACTTCGAGTTGCCTAGGATGAGCAAGGTGCAATTCTTTGAAAACAAAAATGCAGTGACGTGCACAGTCCCATTCTGAATCGTCGACATATCCATGCAATTTTTGAAATTCCTTGGTTTGTGATTATATCGAGGAACCATCGACTGTGGCACGCAATGTGGCGAGTAGGACTCGTCAAGCTCATTTTAGAGCGGTTTCTTCAACGAATCCCTAGACATAATGTGTTTTATGCAAGCCTCAGCTTCTAGAACGGATCCGACAGCGTACCCTATCGAGCTCAGATCTGAAATGCTGTTCTACCACCGTTTAAGCCGACAAAGTCGAAAAAATCGGTTCTGCATCAATGCTGCACTAGTACTGAACCACCCTTGCCTCGTAAACGGGAGCCAAAAGAGCCCCCTGATTCCTATCTCTCGTGACATCCAGTGAAACCAGCGCGTCAACTACCTGCAAATTCTATCGCACACAATCCTTAGATTGTTCGTGGTCGCCACAGAAACACGCCCTTCTCATCCAGAATGACTGCATTCAGCTCCTTGTCCCCTGTACCACTTGGAGCATCTATTGATAGTGCTCGGGTATACACCAAAACGATGATAATTGTCGCGTGCCAAAAACCCTCAACGTCGAAGTCCAATGATTTAGGGACGGTGTCAGTATCAGTCAACCGCTGCAGCTACCATAGATTTTGGTGGTTGAACAAGGTAAGCATAAACAATTCTACACCACAGTACCAAAACTAGGACAGAAGAAAACAGCATCTGTGAATATCAGTTCAAATTGTTTGCTCATGCGTTGTCTCCGTAATTTTGGCGCACCCTGTAGTGGTTCATAGTGATAGCTGATTTTGGTAAGATGATAGTTGTAATTAGTGACAACTGACAGAATACAACTGCAACAGGTTAATCATTTCATTGGCAAAAACATTTACATTTTGGTGAAGGCCGTCGTCACTTGTGGTGTATGGTCTGCACCCGACGCTTTCTCGCTTTTTGAAGGGAGGGTACTTACCTTCGTATGCATAGGTTTAAATTTACTCCGAGTAAACTTAAAATTTTCTGTACTCTTTATATTTTACAATATTTCAGATCACCTTACTGCTCTTGGATATGCATGTGTTTGTGCACTTTGTTATCTTCTTTCTCTACATCGATGGATTCCTACGTGTACATCCGATTTTTCATCGGAATGTTTTGCGGAGGCTTAACCACGTAAGCCATGACCGCACTTTTTTGGAATTTAAATTTTATTTTTGTAAAAAAAAACAGATTCTTTTGTTATTTTCAGGGTCGGTACAATTTTGGTGGTGGAAAGCCTTGCCAGCGAAACATCGTCTCTGGATGTGTACGGTGGTCACATGGGCTCCTAATTACATTTTGTTCGCTATTTTTGCATACTTCACTGGTCATTGGAGGATATTGGCCCGGGCGTGCAGTGCGGTAACAGCGGCTGCTGCACTCCTGCTTGCTTTGTAAGGTTTTCTATTGAGTACTGTTTGATTGAATGAGATAACTAGGGAACCGGCACGTATTTTGAATGTTTTGAATAGCTCATATTTTGAATGACTCGCTTTGAATGTCCTTTCAGCGGAATTCCAGAAAGTCCGAAATTTCTTCTACAAAAGCATCGGAAGTCAAAAGCGGTTCGTGCTCTCATCTATGTGAATAGCTTCAGACGGGACAAACTCAAGGTGATCTATTAACTGTACCTTAAAGGTACATGCCACAATGAATTTACATTTATCAGTTTCTCCTGTAAGTGTGCTGTAACTGAAACCAAAGAGCATATACCGTTCCAGCACTTCAAAAGTACGCGATAATGGTGCCAAAACTTTGTAACTTGCGCCGCTGGCGCTTCTGTTGTTCACTGTTGCTGGACAATATGACTCATGAGACAAGGATATGAGACACTCGAATATGTGTCTGCGCCTCTCTCGTCTCTATGTTCTCTCTTTGCTCCAGGTTTTCTCTCTCCTCGGCACTCGGTGACTCTTTCTGTGTGTGATGTCTCGCTGGACTCACGCCCACCTTTTATAAGCTCGTCCATAAGAGAGTGCTCATGATTGCACCGCGCTAGGTGGCTCCTTTTCCTTTTTGTTCACTGCTGGTCCACAATACATCTCTACGTACATTTTCTATCTTACAAGGGAAGGATGGTAGGTCGAAGTGG